TAAACTGGTAGTTAAAAACATTGCAAAAAACAAGTTATATCAGCAAATATCAGTTTAAAAAGAGATACCTGCATACTGTATTCCCTGGATTCTAATTTTTAATGTCAGTGTGACCTATTCTCTTAAGAATAACATAATTCTCAGCCTATCTTTCTGTTTACTGCACTTTATTTAATACAGAATTATGAGGAAAGATAGTATTGTTTATTTATTTATGGCTGTGTTTTACTGGTAAATGGTGATTTTACAAAGCTCTAAATGTTGCATGATCTCAGAAGTACATTTAATGCCTTAACTTTTAAAATTTGAAAAGTATAAAGAATTTTTAAAACAAATTAAAGAAACAAACAGATCGTGACAGTGGACACCAGGACAGGACCTGGACTATTAGATTTTTAGATACCTACTTGCTTGTAAACACCTGTGTACTAAGAGTTTGTTGCCAACAGAAATCTAGGGACTAGAATTTCTTGACCTAAAGATTTGAAAAAATGTAGAATTAACTACTTCTATAGATTTCAGATTTTTTTTTATTTTTTTTTTTTGTCTTTAGCCTTTCTAAAAATCTTGCTTGGTGGCCTGCTGTAACTTTAACTTAATTTTAACTGATAGAATTGGTCTTCAAGGACCTCAGGCCCCTGAGCCTTTTAATAGAGTCTGGAGCAAGGAAGATAAGCCCTTGGTGCAAGACTGAGTCATAGAAAATTTTAATAATTTGGACATGCATAAGTCCATAGAGCTTCACGTGATGCGTCCACTTCATAAAGTCATAGAGTGGCTTGGGCTAGCAGGGACTTTTAAAGGCTGTCTATTTCAACCTCCTAGTCACAACCCAGGCTGCAACATGCCAGATCAGGTTGCACAAAGGTTATGGCAAGAGGGAGGTGTTTCTGGGCACTGGAAGAGAGCAAATGTCATTCCTGTTCTCAGAAACGGTAGGGAGGTGGACTCAAGTTCTGTGGGACAGTGATCCTCACTGCAGTGCCTGGAAAGGTGATGGAGGAACTAATCTTGGAAATCATTTCTAAGTGTACAAAGGAGAATAAGATGTTTGGGAGTAGTCAGCATGAACTTATGAAGAAAAATGTTCATCAGATTTTGAAGCAGCTGCAGCAAACATGGTGTATCCTTCCTATACTAGTTTGATGTAGGCCTGAGGTATTGAAGTAATGTATGTGCTTTACAGTTATCCTCCACTTCTTGGAAAAGACAATCCAACACATCCGTAAAATCACAGAACCATAGAATCATGGAATCATGGAATCATGGAATGGCCTTGGTTGAAAAGGACCACAATGATCATCAAGTTTCAAGCCCCCAGCTGTGTACAGGGGGTCACCAACCACTACATCAGGCTGCCCAGAGTCACATCCAGGCTGGCCTTGAATGCCTCCAGAGAGCATCCACAGCCTTGGGCAACCTGTTCCAGTGTGTCACCACACTCGGGGTGAAAAACTTCCTCCTAATATCTAACCTAAACCTCCTCTGTCTTAGTTTAAAACCATTCCCCCTTTTCCCATCACTATCCACCCTGTAAGCAGCTATTCCCCCTCCTGTTTATTATGCTCCCTTCAAATACGGGAAGGCCACAATATGCCTTCTCTTTTCCAAGCTAAACAAAGCCAGGTCCCTCAACCTTTCCTCACAGGAGAGGTGCTCCAGCCCTCTGATCATCTTAGTGGACCTCCACTGAACCCATTCCAACAGCTCTACGTCCTTCCTGTGCTGGGGACCCTGGGCCTGGACGCAGTACTGCAGATGGGGCCTCACAAGAGCTGAGTAGAGGGGGACAGTCACCTCCCTGGCCCTGCTGGCCACCCCTTTTTTAATGCAACCCAGTTGGTCTTCCGGGCTGCAAGCACACACTGCTGCCTCGTGTCCAGCTTCTCATCCGCCAGGACCTCCAAGTCTTTCTAAACAGGGCTGCTCTCAAGGAGTTCTTCTCCCAGTCTGTATAAATACCTGGGATTGCCCTGACCCAAGTGCAGCAACCTCCACTTGGCCTTGTTGAACCTCATTAGGTTTTCATGGGCTCACTTGGCTTTGTCTTGAACTGCTCTCTTGCTTATTATCAAGACCAACTGGTACCAGCTGGAGAAGAATCTGAAAGGAATAATAGGCTCTGCTTCCTGCTTAGTACCTTCAAAATAGTACGTCAAGGAAATTCTAGGATAATCACATTTTTACCTTTACAAAGCTTCAAAAAAGAGCATTAGTAATGTAATCACTTAGACATTTCAGGCCAACAAACAGCAGTTCAGGAAAAAAAGTCCGTATCTATCCATGCAAACTAATTGAATCAGAATTGACTACAGAGCTTGATGATCCTTTCTCTGACATCATCATAAATAAAGATAACCTGGTCGAAATCAAGGGAAGTAAGAAAACTCATGTAAATATAGGAGACAATACTCCTTTCAGGTCCCTTTTTTTCTGAGAGCTGTGCTCTCTTCATTATTTATAATACACAACGTTTGAACAAGGTACTAACATGTACAAATGAATACTTATGGAAGGGTATTGATTTACTGAGCCAAAGACAGATGTCAAATACAGATGCACGCAGAAAAATGGGACATTTCTCTCTGAGCTAGTTTTTTCCCCTTGTGTCATCACCCTCTGATATAAAGTGAGGATACGATACATCTGGAGGCTTTGTTACCAAGGCAATTTCTTACACTTACAAATGTTTACGCGTGGAAGAAGTGGATAGATCAGCCATCTGGTGATAGGGTGCAGAACTGCTCATCTTCATGTAAGTGAGATGGACTTGGCCCAGGCTATCTGGAGCCTAGGTTGTGGGTGGCTGTCTGATGGCAAAGTCTAAAGCAGTTTTCTCATAACAAACGAACATTTTAGAAGTAACAAGCCATTCATCGCAGGAGTTGTCATCAGCTATCTAAACTAAGAATTGTTCTGTACCAGGGCTGGAGGAGAATGAGAGAGTAAGCAAGTTGGTGCAAGGGAACTCAACACGAGGAAACTAAGCAAGAATAGCTCAACAACAAAAGCATTAATAGGAGATCTGTTTAATAAGATGGAATGAGAAGGGAAATATAGCTATTGAATAAATCTTACATGCCTTCAAATACTATGTTCATGTGGAATCAGACAGAGCCCTAATGGATTTTCCCACAATACATCTGCATAGAAGCAGATCCTGTCCATGCAGAGAAACTCTCCCTTTTTTATTACGTAAGGTGGCATATCACTTCCTTACATAAAACTACTCTGATCCTAAAAGACATTCTCGTAAGAGCTCTTTGTGCACACTAATATAAATCCAAAGCCATGCAGGTGCTGGTACCATGTGGGAGCAGGCTGCAGGTTCCTCTGGCAGAGTGGTGCTCTGCTCTGCAGCTGTGGGATCCATACAGTACAGCACATTTTGAAAGGCAACACTGTACCTGCAGCACAGCACAGCCCAGTGCTGCTCAGGTACTAGAGGGGACCAGTGACACCTGAAAGTGCAGTGGTATCATGATCAGGATCAATACAAGAACCAAAAAAATGAGGAGCACAAGCATATACTCTTTCCTGCAAAAGTCTTGCAATCTGGCATGTTTCAAGAACAGTATATTTACTGTAAGTAAAATAGTTTGTTCTGGGAAAGCTCTTCTGACAACAGTGGAAAGAAGTGGTGAATTTTTTGTTCCCCTGGGCCACTGTTGTCCTTGGAACCTCAGGGCTCTAAACAGATGCTTACATTTTGAAGGGTAGAGAAGTAGAAGTGAGATGATTTCTCTTCAATACTGCTTGTTTCTCAGAGATCTCTAAAGCATACTTATTTTAGTAGATAATTTATCTGTACTTTTACTAACGAACACAAAGCAGGTTTTGCTTGGAGGAATCATGACTCTTCCCCTAATTTCAGCTGAACAATTTCAGGAGGAGGAACTGCAAAACATCTGGGCAGTGACCCACACATGCCATGGCTGGATGTGACAAGAGATCCATACAGACTTGAGAATTTTGCCAGTGCCACTCTGTGCCACTCTGCATTACCAGGCATAGTATGCAGGATTCTGGGTGGGACATTTCAGTCCTACCTACACCCAGATAACTGCACAGAATAGTTGTGGAGGAAAGATGATAGGCCTTCCTGTCCACAAAGCCTCAGCCATGCCGCGCTGAAAGGGCCACTCAGGTTCACGTCTCTCCTTTATCTGACACCAGCCAGCTGGGAGTGAGGCTGTCTCTGTGAAATGTAGAACAAATGGCTACTGGCAACAGGCTCAGATAACTGCCGGAGTTAGTGATTCCTACATTTCAGTATTATAATTTTTATGTGTTAGGAATGATATTAAAATCTCTTAAGTGCATTATGGATTTTTTCCTTCCTGCTGTTATCAAGTCTTCCCTGGTGTGTGAATGATTAGTAATGTAACAGAACTATCTCTACTTTTTTTTCAAAATCAATACTGCATCACTGAAACGTGTTCTGAAGCAGGGGAAAAAGAAATCTGTCGCTGTTACAATGAACTAAGATGGAGCTACTAAATACTGCTAGCAATAAACATGAGACTTTTTTTTTTTTTTTTTTTTTTTTTTTTAAGATAAAATTCGACCTCATTTCTAATTATGATTCCTGCTGGAAAATCACTGTGCTGACATTCAAATTTCCGTATCTCTTACATGTAACATACCTATTTGTTAACTTAAAAAAACAAAAACAAAATCAGTTGGCTATCCTGTGTTTGAATTTGTAAGAGTAAGATGTAATTCTTATTGCATTTCAAAAATAATTTGCATTTTACATGAAAGACAAGGCAGAAATTTTAATTCTAGCAGACACACTAGTGGTAATAAAAAGAGAATGTTCAAATTCAATTTAAAGACCTGCATTTAAATACCTTACTTAATAATTGTAATATTCACCTTCCAAAGCAATTTGTTATACAAAAGTTTAACTGGGAACAGTTGATGTCAAAATCATTAATGATGCAGTTCAGCATTACAGCTTTCAGCTTCTGAAGACGTTTGTTTGCTTTACTTCCTTTAGAGAAATCCTTGTTGCACGGTATGGGTAGACCCAAGAGCCTCTATGCACAGGATGATCTGTTTGGAGAGGAATATCATCAGTGTATGCCGTGAAAACAGGTAGGGATGGAGAAATCTAGCAGTCCTCTTTATCTAACGAGGCTCAAGGATCATGGAGTCAGAGAACCACCAAGACTGAAGAAGTCCTCTAAGATGTCTAGTCCGACCACCCAACTACAGCCAATATTTTCCTGCTAATCCACATTCCTTAGCATCACATTTAAATGTTTCTTGAACACCTTCAGAGATGGTGACTCACAACCTCCTTATGCAGCCTGGAACAGAGGCTTCTTTCATTCAGAGAACAAATTTTTCCTAATATCTGACTGGAACCTTCCATGGCACAACTTCAGGCCATTCTCTCTAGTTCTGTCTCTAGTTATGTAGGAGAGAAGGCTGACCCTCACCTCGCCATGACTTCCTTTCAGGCATTTGTTACAGAATGATAACGTCCGCCCCTGAAATTCCTCCAGGCTAAACAGTCTCAACAACTCCCTCAAACTCTCTCAACAACTCCACATCAGGCTTGTGCTCCAGACCCCCACCCAGCCCTTCTCTGGACACACTCCAGGGCCTCAATGTCTTTCTTGTAGTGAGGGGCCAAAACTAAACACAGTACTTGAGGTGTGGCCTCACCAGAGTTGAGTACAGGGAGAGGATCACCTCTGTCTCCTGCTGACAGCACTGTTTCTGATGCAAGCCAGGATGTCATTGGCCTTCTTGGCCACTTGGGCACGCTGCTGGCTCATGTTCAGTGGAGTGCTGACCAACACTCTCAGGTCCATTTCCTCCAATCTTCCAGCCACTTTCCCAAACCTGTAGCTTTGCCTGAGGTTGCGACCAAAAGTCACAATTGGCCTTCACCCCATTGGCATCAACCTAGAGACCCAGCCTGTACCTGAAAGGTCTTCCTACCCCAAGAAAATCAATAATTATTCCCAGCTTAATGCCCTCGCCCAGGTAATCAATGAAGATGCTAAACAGGAGAGGCCACAGAACCAGCCCCTGGAGAACACCACCCATGACAGGTCGCCAGCTGGATTTAACTCCATTCACCACCACTCTTTGGGCTGGCCATCGAGGTATTTCTTCACCCAGCAAAGACTGTAGCTGTCCAAACTATGGACTGCCAGTTTCTCCAGGAGAATACTGTGGGAGTCAGTGTCAAAGGCTTTGCTGAAGTCTAGGTAGGCTATGTCAACAGCCTTTCCATCATCCACCAGGTGGGCCACCCAGTCACAGAAGAAGATAAAGTTAGTCAAACAGAAAAAGAGGTAAAATCATGAGCTATACACAGCTAGTTGTCAATGGTTTACGGACTGGTTCAGCCCAGTTCCGTGACTGGCAGGGTGGAGGGATTTTGCAAAATCTGCGCCTCCGGAAAAGGGAAACAGGGGACCTCAAAAGAATTAAAAACAGTGGCAACAATCTGAGCAGAAGCAAAGTAATTTACTAAATATAGTATTGGAATGGAAGATAGCACACCATAATGCAGTATAATTAGAGTTGAAGCTAATAAATCAAATATAATGAGAGAGAATGTCTGAAAGGTGGATAGGCCTCACCACAATGCCGAGGTGAGATGTGCAGTCCAGTTGAGCAGCAGGGAGATGAAAAACAGCAGAGAAAGAAGAGAGCATCAGGTGACCTTGCCAGGAGTTCTATCTGCTCTCTGACCGCCAAACCCCCTGGGGAATGTGGTTCTTCTTCTCTTCCGGACAGGCACCCGGAACTTGAGCATTAACAGTAACTCCCAGTGCACTATACGATGTTATGATGTGGAATACCAAAAACCAAAAATCACAAAACCATGACACTAGTTAAACAAGGTACTGCCCGGCTCTTTTCTCAGTTTTCTCAGCTTTGCTGGAAAAGGTTCTTAACAGGCACACTGAAGTGGTTTTATTATACTCACTGTTGTACGTACCAAACTTGCTGATAGGCTTTTGTCAAGAAATGAGAAGCTGATGTCATCAAATATTTGCTTGATTACGCACTGCAATCCTTAGGAGTCATGCTCTGTGACTTCTTTTCTTATATATAATTGAAATTGTGAGTTTTATGATTGTGAATTGTATAATAGTAACAGGAGGAAATATAATGAGGATCCCTTCCTCCTCCCTTCATACATTCTTACCACAAACATGTCCCTCTCTCTGGATCATAGTACAGGCAGACAACCTCAACAAGCTGCTCGATCCCCAGTTAGTGTCTGTGCCTGACTTGGTACTTACCCTTAGTCCTATGCCCAACCATCTCTCCTCCCATGGCAGATTACAGCTAGGTGACAAGATCTTTCTCTCCAGTTTCCACTACTGTGTCCTGTTCTTCTGCCATCAGGGACTCCTGCTGCTGGTGATGCTTTGCTGCCATAGACTTAGGTGATCTCTATCCTCCTGTCTTGCACCGGAAGAAGCAGTCTAGAAAATTCAGATGTCAGTTGTGAAGGAGATCCGATGTTCAAGCTTTCTCTCCATGTGATGGCCTCTGTGGTGCCTACTAAGTAACCCTGGATTGTTTTCGTATTATAATCAAGTGGATGGCTGCTGATCATATCTCCTAATTTTCTAAAAAGGACCTAGAAGGTGCCAGGCATTTTTATGGTTACGTTGTTATTTCCCAATTACAGAAAGAGCATTAAAAGACAAGAAAGTCTTCTTAATTCCCAGACAAAGGCCTGTGTATGTTGTTTGGACAGGAAACAGTCTGAGCTACATGGTATAATCTTGTTTGTAAAAACCTGACTTAGAGGTCACAGCAGGGGAAGGCATGAGGAAATGTATATTCTAGAAACTCTTGCAAGAGGCAGTTGGCAACCTTTGTTTTGTAGTGCTTCAGTATGCTTAGTTGCCGCTGTAGTAACATATTCTTTACGGATCAGTGCAGTAAAATGTGTATTGCACTCCTGAAAAGAACTGCTTCACTAGAATTAATTTCTCTCATATTTCCCATGCCTTATTCCTGCTTCAGTCTATGCAGAGGAAGAATACAACCATTATATCAGTAACTGAAAAAATAAAATGTTCATGGATATTAAAAACTCTGAATTTGAAAACTATTTTTTTTTCTTCTAGAATTTTCAAAGGTTTCCTAAATACTAAGTGAGCTATACAACAAGACTGTGTGAATCCCACTTGAAAGATGTTCAACAGCAGTTCAGAAGGGTTCTTCACTGAATTGGCAGTGGACATGGAACAGTCTCCCCAGAGCTGTGTTCATAGCCTCAGGCTTCTGGAGTTCAAGGACAGTGCTCTCAGTTATGCGATCTGATTTTTGGGTGGTGTTGGATGGAGCCAAGCGTTGGACTCAATGAATCTTGTAGGTCTCTTCCAACTGAGGGTATTGTGTAGCTCTATGATTCTGTTTTGTTTTGTTTTTGTTTTTGTTTTTTTTTTCCCACAAATCAGAAAAGCTCCAGGATTGCATTTGTGTATATTGAAAGTTAAACAACAGTAAGGCTGTGTTGGTCATTAGTATTTACTTACTCAACGTCAGTTCATCTAGAAAAGTAAACCATGTCTCACCTTCATCACAGTTAGTGAAACATCAACTCTGGGACTCCTGACATCATATTATGTACAAAATACAAATGTTCCTGCAGTGTACCATAACTACCCGCAGGTAATTTTTGTCTTTCTTTTTACAGAAGAGAAATGAAGAACCGATGGATGATTGCACTTTCAGATGAACTCATCACATGCACCTACCTTTGTCTGAATGTATAATATAGAATTCTAATTAGTACATATTTGGATGAATATTTTGTATATATGTAGCTACTTGCATATTCATTTAAAATTAGTAATTACATTCATCAGATATCTCCATTTTATGCTAACGGTTGACCAGAAAGCTGCTAAACAAGATCCTGGGGGTGTGGGACATCTCTTTCCTTGTGCCAACATGGGTCTCACTCCTTTCCCACTGTTTGACTTAAAATATCAAACCACAAGTGAAACCTGTTTGACTAGGTAAGTTTTACGAGTTTGGCCTGTCAAACTATGTAAGTAAAACAGGTAAGTAAAAATCAAATACAAAAAGATGGTATACAGAGAGTAGAAGCAAGACAGGTAATGAAGAGGGAATATAGACATTGTCCAATCATCTAGGGATGAAGTTAGGAAAGCTAAAGCCCAAGTGAAATTCAGTATGACTAGGGATGTCAAAGACATCAAGAAAGGCATAGGCAAGAACATTGTTGATGAAAGGAAGAATAAAAAAAATGCAGGCCCTCTGCTGAAAGAAATAGAATATCTAGTTACATGGGAAAATGATAAGACAGAGGTATTGAAAGCCTCAAACACAATTATACTTGCCATCAGGACTAGCCTTAAGTAATACCAGATTGATAGGGAGAAAAAAAATGAAGCAAGATAGACGTACTCTTGATGGAAGAGGATCATGTCAAGAAATACTTAAGTGAACTGGGCATACAAAAAATTCACAGGCCCTAATGGAATACACCCACAGGAAGTAGCTGGCAGATGTCATTTTGAGGCCACTCTTGGAAATCTTTGTTTGATCATGGCAAAAGGAAAAGTACCTGAAGACCAGGGGAAAACAAATGCTACTCCTATCTTCAGGAAGGTCAAGAAGGAGGACCTAGGGAACTGCATGCTAGTTAGCTTTACCTCAGTCATTAGGAAGGTAATAGAAAAGCTAACTTGGAAACCATATCCAGGCACATGAATGATAAGAAAATCATAAGCAGTAGCAAACACGCATTCACTAAAGGGAAGTCATGCTTGATCAATTTAACAAGCTTCTACTCTGAGTGGATCAAACTGATGGGTGACAGAAATGCAGCGAACATTGTCTTCCTGGGCTTCAGTAAGGCTTTTAACATTCTTCCCATAAGATTCTTGGACATACATTCTTGATGTGTGGGCTGGATAGCCAAATGTGGGATTGGATGAAAACTGGCTGAATGGCTAGGCATAGAGTGTGGTGGCCAGTGCCTCAAAGTCTAATTAGAAGCTAGTAACTTGAAGAGTACCCTGTGGGTCAGTACTACTCAGTCCTGTTTAACATCTTCATTAAAAATCTGGATGAACAGGCTAAGTGCACTCAGCAAGTTTGCAGGTGATACAAAACGAGAATGAGTGACTTATGTATACGCCAGTCATGCTGCCAACCAGGGGGACCTGGTCAGGCTGGAGAACTTGGCCAAGCAGGAGACTCATACAGTTCAACCAGTATTGCAATGTCCTGCATCTATAAAAGAAGAGCTCCAGGCACCAGTGCATTCTGGGAGTCACCCAGCTGGAAAGCAGCCTGGCAGGAAAGGCACTGGGGATCCCCATGGGCAACAAGTTTGTTCCACTGCTGCAAAGAAGGCTGCAAAAAAGGATATAAAGAAGGATGATAACATCCTGAGCTGAATTAAGCAAAATATTGTCAGGAGGTCTACTCATCCTCCCTACTCTGCATTGGTGAGACCACTAATGGAGGAGGATTTGGCTATGCCATGGCAAGAAGACTGTTTGCAAAAGATCATGTAATAGTCCCTGGAACAGATGTATGAAGATGCACTTAGAGATAGAAATCATAAAGAACTCATGGTCATAGATTGGAAGGAAATGGTTTTTCTTCCTCCCAATCTAAAAAAAAAGGAAATAAATGAGTATACCATTTTAATCTGGGAGATTTACCTTGCTTTTCCCAATAAAAGTTCTTATTTTATATTTTAGAACCAAAAGCAAAGTCAAGGTAGTTTGATTTGGCAGATTTTAACAAGTTCTGAAGCTGAGATTAGTTCAAAAGCTATAGTAATTAACGGCTGAATTAAGACACAAGTGCAGGTTAGCCCAATGGCTACCATGCAGTGTATTTGTATTTGTTGTTGAGCCTCCCTGCATTTCTCTTTTGGTGAACAAACACTTGATGGTGCATTACAAACATAAAACCTTTTAAACAAAAGTTTTTTTTTGAGGGAGTTTAGATTACCTGTATTCTCTTAAAATTTACGAGCTGGTGGAAAATGCACTTCATAAGCTGAAGACCTGAAAGTCAGGCTCTCTTTTCTAACAACTGCTCTTATTTCATGGAAGGACTTCTCAATATAGTAGCATTTATTATGTGCCTTTGGCTTACCCATTTACCATCTATTCCCATTAATACCTGCCACCTGTATAGATTGCACAGTGACTATTTTAGAAAGAGAATTTATTTAGTGGTTTAATCCTTGGGTAGTAAATATTAATTAGGCGCTTAAATTATTGGTTTTTAAGCAGTTTTTTTGTGATATGGAGGGCATGTTTTTCTGTCAGTTGCTGAACATTTATTTTAAACATATTAAACTACCACAGGAGTATTCAGTGCACGAAAACCTTTTCATGTTTGAGTGGATTAAATTTACAAGTCTAAATTGATGATATAAATTACATTTACATAATTCATTCTTCACAATGGGGAATTTGTTTTGCATGTGAATCTGTTAATATATGCAACTAAGGATGAAAACATAGTACACTATTTTTGCCCACACTGCTAATTTGGACTAAACAGAGTTTTAGACTACTTCAGCTCCTTACCTGCTTGGTTGCTGTATTCTTCTTTCAGTTTCTATTTCACAATTAAGTAGCATGTACATGTGTTTTCAAATAAAAAAGGCTTTGCTAGATAAACTCAGTGGGCCTTGCTTTGGCTCTTAAGAACATACTAATTCCTAAAAGCTAATATTAGTATTTTATTTATTAGCATAAATAGGAAAAGTCAACAGGGGAGAAGCAAAATAGTTGAACAAAAGACTAGACCCTAATGTTTTCCTTTTTTGATATCAAACATTTGCAAGAAAAACTAAACATTATTTAGTAATAGAATTTGATTTAAGAAGACAAAAATTTCGAAAATTATACCAAGCATCTAACCAGCCAACTAACACTGAATTTAGTAGAAGTTCTGTGGCTAAATCCCTCTGCCATTTTGAAGCCCCAAATCTCACTGTAATTTTCAGCACCTGAAACCATTTGAACATTTGGCATGGCTCATGTTAGCAATTTATTTTTTTAAATCAGACATCTTTATTACCCTAATACTTGCTTTTAGAAAGCATGCCTTGTACCATACTAACAACCAGTAATATTCCTAAAAGCTGTGTGTATAAAATGTGCAGCACTTCATATTGTATTCAAAGGCCTGATTGTTAGTGAATTGTATTTGTTTAGATGTATTCAAGAAATCACACTCATTTTTCCCTTGTCAGTCACATTATCTTTATCTACCAATGGAAACACTAAAATTGCCATCTCCTTTCATCCTTTGATCTGTTTGTTTAGTAAAGAGGAAGAGAAACCAAACCCAAAGGTGCCTATAAGCAGATAAAACAATGGCAGTCCAGGCGTTTTTTGAGCATCTGAAAATGGTCATTAAGCCGAGACATATTTTTATCCCTTTGTTAATCTCTCTTTCAACACAACATATATATGCAAATTTAATAATTTAAATATAAAATTATGCCATGGTCTTATATTTTTGTTGTTGTAATTAAAGAAATATACATGATTGCTCTTACATCAGATAAACCACTGTTTAAAACGTATATGTTCAAAAGTTCTTGAACTACAATTATTATTATATAATAATTGGTTACAAACAAAAACAGCCACAATCATCTATGAAGACATAATAAAAGTGAACAAAATTGGACAAACTCATTGCTACCATTTCTCTATCCATTTCAAATGTAAGTGAACTAAAAATACTGCAGGCTTATGGGGGTATAAGCTAGATGAACACCTTCCTTCCATGGATCACCAGTCTAATAAGTGCAAAGAACAGTGAGGATACAGGTTAGCATGCTGATGCAAAAATTTCCATCCTTGAATGTTCTTCTACAGTGTCTGAAGAAGTCAGGTCACCACTGTCTTTCCTTGCTAACTTATTTGTACACCAGTCTCAATGGGGAATTATTCTCAGGTTTCTGCATGCACTTCCACATATGGCCTTGCAGGGCCTCCAGCTAGGAACAGTATTTCTTTCAGTTTTTTTCTTTTTCTTTTTTTTTTCCCCTCTGGAAAATAACCATAATATTAACATCAATGAAGTGTGCTGACACTTGCAGTTTAGGAGCATCTCAAAACAGACACTACGTTAAATACAAAGTACATGTATTTACAGCCTAGAATGTTTGGTTTAAGAGCCTGTCTTAAGTCGGAGTCTGTATCCTCCAAAAAAAGACGTAGTGAAAGATCATTCACACCTTTTTAGATCTGGAGAAACCATTATCAGCGCACTTTGTCAGAGTACATTTCAGTTTGGATGATGAGATGATGTGTTCTACCTGAGGGTATTTGTGTGAGGTTTCTCCAGTGCACTCCCACTGTGATACTACTGGTAGTCCTGCGTGAGCACAGTATGGATTTCATGGTTTTGGATCTTGGACCTGTGGTGACCATGCCAGGACTTGTGCCATGACTTCTGGAAGGATGAAGGCAGATTTGTACTGCTGTCTTTCTCTTACTCATGGAAGAAGTGATGTCATTTGTCTTTCAGACAGAATTCATAGCTATGGAAATCCAGTCAAGAAAAAACATCCTAGAGACTGTAGACACAACCACCAGTAATGTTAATTCTCTTAATAGCAGCCTACATGGCGGTATGTTTTTTATTTGTGACCAAAACAGTGTGTGTAATACACCAATGTTTTAGTTGCCACTGAATGTACAGAATCAAGGCCTCCTGTTTCTCACTCTGTTGCTCCAGAGAGTAGATACAGAAGCATGCAAGAGTTTGGGAGGGAGCACAACCAGGCAGATGATTTTTATTAACTACTCACAACCTGGGACAGGTGGTGAATGATTGCCTTTGTATCACTTGTTTTGTTATGTTTTCTTTCTCTTTTCTTTCACTTTCCCTTAGTGTTTTCAAATATTTTTTATCTTGACTTAAGAGGTTTTTGCTTATACTCTTCTAGTCCCTGATTCCATTAAAGTAGGTAAAGAGAGGAGAGTGAATGACAGGCTGTGTGTGTTTAGCTGACAGCCAGGAATAATGATACAATGAAATTCAGTAATGTATGGTATTGGAAAGGTGAAATTTTTGTTATTACTGAGAGGAATACAGTAATAATGGCATGAGCTATGAGAAACACAGTCTTTAAGCTCTCCAGTGTTACTCATCATGCATGATTCTATCTATATCCTGTTTTTTTCCTGTTAATTACATAGAAATCATCCAGTGTTGCTCATAAATACTTGCAATCTGAATCTACAAATGTAGCATGTTATTTTTGAAGATTTTAAGGATGTTACTACAATAATTTTCAAGTAATAACTATAGGAGAGTTGCAGTACATGACTCGTTCTGTAAGACTTTCCTCCAGTGATATGCAGAACTGTGTGGAAGTTTCTAAGATGGAAGCAAACTTAGGAATTCTAGATGATAATGTTGAAAGGAGTATCCTTTCTGCAGTGTTAAGTCAGATCTTTTGCACTTGAATTTGAGCATGCAGGTCAGCCTAACCAAGGCATAAGGAGTGAGCCTGCTGCTAGTGTGATGGCTGGTGTATGTTGCTTAAATGTATAGACAGATACGTCCTGGTGCCTTCATAACCTCAGAAGTTCTGAGAGTCCTCCATGCTACCTCATATATGAGCATATTTCTTTGGGCATGAGAGGGGAGGCACTAGACAGCTACTCGTGGTTGAGGCTGCAATTTCACTGCAAAGTGCAGGACTTACAGAATGATCCAAAATTTGGCTGAAAGATTTTCAGCGGTCCTGGATAGCACGATAGATGAGTAAGAAGGCTTTAGCTAAATAACAGGAAGAAAGAGGATTTATATCAAGAGTGTAGTAAATGTCCTGTTTAAAATAAACTGCAGGGATGCAATCAGGTGGGAAGTTTTCCTCCAGTTCAGCTGAAGGTGTTTGAACTCAGAAAGTATTTCTGAGTCAGTAAATGTGAAGCATAAGAGCATGTTTTAATAATACCAGGGAAAGCACTGACATTAGGCTATGACACAGTACAAAGTAATCCCACTTTGTATTTCTTTGTCAGGAAGATCTGAAAGGTCCTTCTCTTTCACTCCTGTCTGGAAGGACAGACTGACTCAAACTGGAACTGTTCAAGCTCTTATTTAACAAACTGTAAATAATAAGCACATCCTTTACATTTTTAGAGCTTAAAAAGAGCCCATTGGACAAAAGCTGCTTATTGTATAAATTACCTTTTTGTACAACTTTTGCTCGTTCTCAAACCATACCGAAAACCATACCAGCCATTTGGTGCTCTGATCCCCTGCATTCTGCTGATGGTTTCTTTCGGTGAGCTGAAATATCAGATGGCTCCTACTCTCAGTAAAACTGTTGGCAATTGGCCATTTGGAATATACAGCAACAATGAGCAAACAGGGGTTTGTCACTAATTGGATTTTATCACACAAAGAGTGATCAAAAGCTGGAATTTTCCTTGGCAGTGGAGTATTTTAAAGAGGCACCCTTGTTTTGGGGCAATGTTATTTGCTGAATAATCCCTACATCTCTCAGTCCCACCTCAGTCTAATTTGCTAAAATACAGCTGCTGCCCTTGTGCCACGTTTGCATTGAGGTGCTCAGACTTCAGCAAGAATCCTCCTACTCTCTGGCAAATGAGCACATACAAAAATGATGCACAGTCAGTCTCACAGTGTTCATAATGCAATGAGCAATGTCAGTATTGGTACTGGAGACTCTTTAGAGAAGCATATGAAAAATGAGCGAGTTTATAAACACTGGGCCCTAAGGAAATAATTGGAGATTTGCTCTCTGATCTGTGTAGGAATCGGTATCAATTGTTGGAAGCACACACGTAAACCCACCGAGAAAAAGTAAATTCAGCATAAGGGCTACTTAAAATATTGATAAAGAAAACTTAGATACAAAAGTTGGTGGAAAGTTTGCATTAGGGTGAAACAAGAGTATGTAGCTGCAGAAGTGTGGATTTCCCAAACTTAATCACAGCTCAGCCCAGCAAAGAATAGCGTTCAGAACGAATGCAGATAAATTAACCTGTTACCAGCAGACCTGGTTTGAAGTACAGTCACTCTCCTTCTTAAGGCCATGTCTTTCTTTTCATTTTCCAAGTATAGGGACCAGTGCTGCTCTTCAGACACTTTGTCTTATTGGTCTGTGAATTCCCAGGGTAAAGAAATCTGACTATGAAAAAAGAAAAGACTTAATCAGGACCTCCTGAACCTCCCAACTTCTCAGAAAACGCTTTGTGTTTTCTGTTTTTTTGCTTTGTTTTTTAATCCTATTTAAGTATTATTGTTACTATTCAGGAGAAGGTTGGTGAGAAGAAAGTCTTTGGATGCAGTTTCTCTTCATTTCAAGAGCTGTTTTCATGTTAATAAATAAACAAGACATGCGGTTTTTTATCCTACTTACAATTTTTTTCAACAAAGCCATTTTTCCTTTTTTTTCTGAGATGTGGATCAGTTCTCTTCTGGAAGCTCCTATGGGATTTGTTGCTCTTATGTAGCAAGACAAAGGGAGTGCTGGAGCTCAAAAACCTAAAGAGAAGTGTGCAGCAACCTAAAGTTTTATTTAAGATAGATAAACTAAAGGAGCTGGATCTTGTCAAAAACAGACATATTACCCTAGTGTACAACAAATATAACAAGGAAGGCTTCATGAAAGGATTTTGCTAAAGTAATATTGTTCTAACAAACTAGACTTTGAGTCTACAGGTATGTTTCCCTTGCCCTGCTACTGTTGAGCAATATCAGTGTTCCAAAACCAGTGTCTCCTCTGTCTGATCCTGACATTCTTTAATCCTAGAGCTCCCACTGAAGACCTCTCTAGTCTTCTCTTTAGCATGGACTGGTGACAACAACAGTAGTACTTCCTACTTCTCTCCTTGTTCTGCAGCCAAAGCATGAGGAGCTGACAGTGATACCTTTTATTTTAAAGTGTTGTCTTTATGCAGAACAAGTAAGAGAAGCAGCATACCACAGAATTACTTAAACGTTACAGAGCATTCTCAGGCTCTGGTACTGCTTTTAAGTGCTTTTAGTTCCTAAGATGCAAGTTGTTATAGAAATGGTAACAATTATTGGTCCATCTCTAATTGTAATTTGTGAAAAATCAAACCTTGAGACAGACACATTATTTTGGCAGAGCAACAAAACTTCCATTTTACAGCGCTTACAGAAAAAAAAAAATGATCCCCAGCTGCGATACAGAGTAAGTTTTATGTTATAATTTAAGGGAATAACACTGGAATATGGGTAATAGGCAAGGAAAAATAGCTTAGAACTAATAAAATAAGTTCAATTTAAATTCAGGATGGAATGGAATGGAATGGAATGGAAAGCAACTTTAAACATACAAAAATATAAAGCCTGCAGGCAGCTCAGTGAAGATGTACGCTTGGAAAATGACTACTCTTGATACGCATAAAAAAGTAATGGATTCCTTAACAACCTCCAAATGCCCAAATGCGCAGATGCACAGAGGGATATCTTAGAAAAA